TTAGCAAACATCTCCATTCCCACTACCCTACATGTGACTGAAGGTCTAGTTCTTCTTGCCAAGGGGAGGATGCAGAGAACAGAGTTGGCCCCCTTTGGGGAAGGTGGCAGCAGATAGCATCTGGAGTCTCCTCTTTGCTCCTCACCCTACCCCTTTTCTCCAATCTGAGCCTATGCTGGCCTCCTGTATACTGTGCTAGGGACAAGGATGTCCCACAGGTACTGTCTTGGGTTATCTCGCTGCTGTTGGCTGGTTTTACTCTGAAGGCTGGCACCGTAGATTCAGCACAGCTCAGCCGAGGCTTGGAACATGTTCTCTCAGCCGCCTGAGCTCTCCTGAGCCACACCCCAGGTCTGGTGTGAGGAAGGGTCTCTCTTCTATTCAAAAAGGGGCCTGGCTTTCGGTGTAGCACACTGGGTCCAGGGCAGGAGGCCCCGTACCCAAGCCTCACATGTGTGCCTTCCTGAGGCATTGGGCCAGGGAAGAGAGCCACCCCCCTCCTGTGTATTCTGTTTTCTTTCCATGAGATTGTTGTGCCATATCACACTTTTGTATATTCCTAGACTAATAAACGGAAACAAGAACTTCCTGTGAGTCGTTGCTCAATTCTTCACTTACACACTATCTGTCCTACTGCACAGGGCACACTGCAGTGCCCACTGCTCTTACACACTATCTGTCCTACTGCACAGGGCACACTGCAGTGCCCACTTTCTGCGGATTCCATTAGACTTGGGCCTTTACTGACTCTGTAACAACTGGGTTCAAAATCAAATGACTAGAGCTCTGGAGAATGGCTCAATGGTTAAGGGCCTTGGCTGCTTAGGCCTTTGTTCGATTTTGAATTATCTGCATGGATGCTTATAACTGTAACTCCTGTCTTAGGAGAGTTGTGGGCCTAAGGCACACAAGCTGTGTAACAGACACACGTAAGCAAAATACCCATACATATAATTTTTTTGAAAGAGAAAATAGTAATGACTTCAAGCATTTGCCCCCACCATCCTAAAGCAGACACTGGGCCCTCTGATTACCATCCCTGCCAAGGCCACAGTCCAGGTCTGCGTAGCAGTGAGAGGAGCCAGTGTGCAGAGAACAATATAAGCCACAACTCTGTCACAGAGAACGATGTCTTTCTAGTCTCACTTTCATTGGAGGTGAGGAGGAGGGGAACGCCGAGAGGCAAGGGCCAGGTAGCCTCGTTGCACGTTACCACTGTGTGTGGTCATGTTCTAGAACAGCAGAGCTGGAAGGGTCTTCACAAACTCTTCAGACAGTTCCCTGTGCTTACTCTCAGCTAAGCTACAAAGGTGGAAATCAGGCCTGATGTCACCTCTGTGGTGTCAGGTCTCAGAATAGGCGACCTTGTTCCTTCAGTTGGGGGCTTCTCAGCAGCCAGAGATCCTGCCGTTAGACCACAGACCTCATTCCCACCTCCTGACTGCTCATTTGCCATCCCCCAGTCTCAGGGCATCCCTTCTGCCCGAAGGCATGGTGGGCTGCAGAGGACCCTGTAGCCCAACTTGGAGTCCTTGAAAATGCAGTGGCTAAGCTGGGGGGGAGGCAGAGTTTGCCGGGGGAGGGAGGCAGGCTGAGCAGCCAGCACAAAGATGGGGCGACCCTGCCCTGTTCTGTTGCTTTTCAGGATCCAGGGGTTGCGAACAGGCAGGTCATTTCTACAGTTTCCAGGTGGCAGGGAGGACAGAGGAAGCCCCTGCTGACTTCTGTTACACCAGACAGTCTTCAAGAACATGAAAGCTCAGGTGGTGGCAAGGCCTATTTTCTGGTGAGAGCCTCAGGCCCATGCCAAATTTCTAGTACCAGTCCCAGTGTGCAGCCAACCCGACAAGAGATATAAAAGCCTCTGGTTCTAGGCTAAGCCCTGGCTGTAACCTTGGCCACCCCAGAAGGTTCCTAAGGATTACATTTCCTATTAGTGAGTGTTACTGTATACTAGGAAACTCAGCTACCTCGGTGTGGATAAAGGGTTTCCTTGCCCAGGACCATCTATTTAACAACACTGTGTCCAGAGCTGAGCCAGCCTTATCTTCAGCTACAGCTGGGGGACCCTGGGTGAATGTTGGGAAGGTTTGCCTTAGCCTACTAAGGAGTGTCGTTTCCACGATTCTTCCCGTGGCCACAAGGCGGCGCTGACGTTGGTTCCAATGCAAAGATAGCAAGGCTGACTGCCTTATGTTTTGACGCTCACCTGGCTTCTTCTATTCTAAGCTAGCAGCTACAGACAAATGGAGTAGGAGGACCTGGCAGAAACTTAGCCACTATCTGGAATATATTACTGGGAAAGTTGGTGGAGAGGGGCCAAGGGGTCTCCATCACACAGCCAATCAGCATTCACTGCCTGCTTCCTCTTCCTCCAGAGATGGACCGACCGCTCTTGGTTTCTAGGCACTTGAAACATTACCATTAGGGGCAAATCACCCATATTTCTAAAAGGCGCCCCCCACTTCCCCACAGTTCTGAAAATTAAATTATTTCCTTCTTCACTCCTAATATCGTAGACTACTGAGGTTGGGCTGCATCCACCTAAGACGTGGCAGACACCATCAGCACCACCCTGTCACGTGACTTCTGCACCTTTAAATGCATTTATCTGTACTCCTGATAAATACTGAGAGAGCTGACAGACAGCTGAAAATGCTCACCCTGGGGCTCAGCCCATGGGCCCTATCCGGAAACCGGTAGCTGTGATGGTGTTAATTCTGCCTTTGAAGCACAACAATGACCATAGGCAGCCGATGTATGGGAGCGTGTCGGAAAATGAAAAGAAACCCAGTGTATTAAGTAGAATGCAGAGTTTGTACTAAAGTCAGTCAGCTTTAGAAACTGAGCTCCCAGCCGGGCCGGTGGTAGCACATGCCTTTAAATCCCAGCACTTGGGAGGCAGAGGCAGGCGGATCTCTGTGAGTTCGAGGCCTGCCTGATCTACAAAGCAAGTTCTAGGACAGCCAGGGCTGTTATACAGAGAAACTCTATCTTGAAAAACAAAGAACTGACTCCCCCTTCTTTCACTTCTCCTCAGTGCTGAGTGCTCCCCATCCACTGCACCTGGCCCCCCTTTGGTTCTGTGGTCCGTGCCCCTTCTTCAAGCCAGTGCTCCCGTTCCTTCAGTCTCTACCCTTCCCCTTGCTCTCTCCAGCCTTTGTACAACCGACGCCTCCGTGCCCTTCAGGCCTCACCGCCAAGGCCATTCCTAAGGAATATTTTCTCTGGACACCTCTTGCTAGATCTGCACTGGGCTTTCTACACGCCTGCCGTGTGGTATTTGTTGCCTGCCTGGCTTGCCACATGTCCCCAAGCTCCTGGGCACACGTCAGCATGTTTATGACCATGGAACTGCAGGAGCTAGCCCGAGTCTCTGCTCGGGTCTGCTCTCTGTGTGACAGGTTTATTTCCTCTCTCTGGTCTGTTCCATTTGGGGGAGACATGGAGGTGTTACAGTTTGGATCTGGAACCCCAGAGGCCCACGCGTTGAGGGCAGCTCATTTGGGTTTTTTTGAGAGGTGGTCAGGAGGCAGGACCTAGTGAGGGAAGTTAGCCCACTGAAGATACACTCTTGACGCAGATTTGGTTACCCTGTCCTTTCTCAGTTCCCTTTCTTTGTGTCTTGACTGTCGCGCAGAAAACAGGCTTCCTCTGCCACACACACCTGTCTTGATGCACTGTGGCTGCTATGGGCCCAAAACAACGGGGCTGAAATGGGGCAAAATAACCCCTTCCTTGTGTTGAATTGGTTGTCTTCAGGTGTTCTGACATAATGAGGCACTAACGCACGAGGCCTCTGCGTGAACCCAACACTCAAGCCTCCATCCATAGCTAACACACGAGGCCCCTGCGTGATCCCAACACTCAAGCCTCCATCCATAGCTAACACACGAGGCCCCTGTGTGAACCCAACACTCAAGCCTCCATCCATAGCTAACACACGAGGCCCCTGTGTGATCCCAACACTCAAGCCTCCATCCATTCCGTCATCTCCTCAATGATGCTTGTGAAACCTCCTTCATGTCTGGGTGCTGGGGACTCAGAGAGAAAACCCAGAGCGAAGATGACTAACTCACCCTACCCAGCATAGCTGGACACATGGATAAACCTGTAAACACATGCCAAGCAACCATGAGGGCGTGCAGAGGAGGTGATACATTTAATTTGACTGAGTTTGGGTTGAGTGAGAGTGGCCTCCATAGGCTCATACATCTGCATATTTGGTCCCCAGCTGTTGGAACTGTATGGGAAGGAACAGGGAGCGTGACTTTGCTGGAGGAGGTGCATCACTAGGGGCAGGCTTTGAGGTTTAGAAAGAATGCGGCCCTGCTCTTTCTCTGACTCTGGTTGTGAATCAAGACATGAACTCTCAGCTGTTCCTTTGCTCTGTCACCATGGACTCGAACCCTTTGAAACCATAAGCCCGATTCAATGCTTTCCTTGGTACGTTGCTTTGGTCGTGGTGTTTTATCACAGCGATAGAAGGGTAACTAAGACACCGAGCTTTCAAACGGTTCCCCTCTGGCCTCTGAAGAGTCAGTCACGTTGTTCCCCTGACCTTTAACTTTCCTGCCTTGGCAGGTAGGCTGGACTTGGCTTAGATCAGCGGTTCTCAACCTCTGGGTCGTGACCCCTTCCCCCGGGGTCGCATACAGGATATCCACATTATGATTCACAACACTGGCAAAATTGCAGCTATGAAGTCACAGTGAAAATCATTTTACGGCCGGGCGGTGGTGGCGCACGCCTTTAATCCCAGCACTCGGGAGGCAGAGGCAGGCGGATCTCTGTGAGATCGAGACCAGCCTGGTCTACAGAGCTAGTTCCAGGGGACCACCACGACATGATGAACTGTAGTAAGGGGTCACCGCATTGGGAAGATTGAGAACCACTGACTTGGTTGCATGTTTCCCTGGGAAACACACACAGGGCTGTATAAATACCACGATAATTCCAAGCAATTTCAACGATTTTTTCTTTTCTTTTTTTATTTTCCCTTTTTTCTTTTTCGAGACAGGGTTTCTCTGCGGCTTTGGAGCCTGTCCTGGAACTAGCTCTTGTAGACCAGGCTGGTCTCGAACTCACAGAGATCCACCTGCCTCTGCCTCCCAAGTGCTGGGATTAAAGGCGTGCGCCACCAACGCCCGGCTGAACGATTTTTTCATGTTGAAATGGTCACATTGCAAAGTTCCAAAGAAGACAAAGTGTTTCAGGATAAAACGGCATATGTGAAAATAATTACCGGACGTGTTTCTTGAACACGTGCTGCTTCCGAGGTTCTATCCGCCATGACTGAGATGCATTTTCTTTAATACTTTGCAGGCAGCAAGCTGAGTTTCCCTCTGGGGCTTGAGTGACGCGGGCTGAGAAGTCTGAGAAGGGCCATGCATTTGAGGGAGGCACTTCCCGTATCTAGCAGGCAGCCTGCGAGGCGCTGAACCCCGTGAAGGATTGTGGGAAGATGGCCTTTGCCGAAGCGCGCTCTCCCCTCTCATCGCTTCTTCAGAACCCTGGATTAGCTGTCCCCGCCACTGCGAAGTCTGTCTGTCTGGGCGCCACTGTCCTTGGGTTTCATTCAGCACTAGGTACAAAGACGAGTAGTAGCTCAGCTCGTGACTCTTCCCTTATTGGACCCTTCTCCAAGGAGCTGGCTCGGGAAGGGTCTGATTTCCTGGGACCTAGCGGAGGAGTTCTCTGGGTGTGTTTGAGTGAATCAAGCAACAAAAGTAGCGGACAGAAGGGAGCCCCGAAGGACGACGAAGTGTTTCTGTGTTCCCTCTGTGGGCCCATTTTTCTTTTGTACATTTATATGTATGTATTGATGTTTGTGTGTGTGCTCCCGCGAGTCAGGGGACAACTTATGAGGATGAGTTCTCTCCCTCTGCCAGGTGGGTTCCAGGGATGGAACTCAGATCCTCAACCTGCTGAGCCAGCTTGTTGGACCACAGACTCTTTTCTTGTTACTTTTGTTGTAGGCTGAATGACAGCCCGGACAGTCAAATCATTTCAACCTGTGATCATAACCATATTTGGGAAAAGTTAGTTACATATATATTTATTTTCTTCTCTCCTTCTCTTCCTTTTATCTTTTAATTTTTGAGATAGGGTCTTATTCTATAAGCCCATGTAGCTGGCCTGTGTGGTCCACTCACGGCAACCATCTAAGTATTGCATAAGCTACCCTGCCTGGCTCTGCAGATGCCACTGAATGAAGAATCTCAAGATGCAGTCTGGACAGGGCATCTAAACTCAATCTCAATGTCTTGATAAGAGAAAGAAGACACCGGAAGAAGGGGAAGAGGGTCAGGAGGAGACAAAGACTGGGAATATGCAGCCAGGGAAGTCTGAGAGCCAACAGACGCTGGAAGAGCAAGGAGGAACGACACCCCAAACTGTGGGAGAATACATTTCTGTTGCTTTCAGCTCCCGAGTTTGTGGTAATTTGATACGGCAGCCTTGGCAAACAAGCACAGCTCAGAAACAGAAATATGCTTTCTGTGAAATTCCACTGGGTCTTGGCACTGTGTGGGTTGAGCTAGGTACAATTTGGAATTTCCCAATAACTCATTTCTCAACAGACACCTGACCCTACACTGGGGCTCCGACCATGAGGAACTGCTCAGTGTCTCAAAACAGGAGACCGGCATCGAAGCAGCTCAGATGCAATTCTGCAATTCGTCTTCCCCTGAAAGTTAATACGCTTGCCTTCTATTTTAAGAAGCGGGGGAGGTGCTGCGGAGATAGCTCAGTTGGTAAAGCCTTCACTAAACAACCATGAAGACCCGAGTTCTAGCACCAGTATCTTAATAAAAACACTGGGCATGGCAGTGCATACCTTTAATCCCAGGGCTGGGGAGGCAGAGACAGAAGGATCCTTGCCCTACTTGGTAGGTTTCAGGCTAGTGAGGGACCCTGTCTCAGAACACATGGGGGATGGTTCCTGATGAACAATACTGGAGATTGAACTCTGACCTCTTCATGCACACACACAAGTGCATGCACACCTGGGCACATGCCAACGTGTAATACACACATCAACTTTTAATAATGGTGCTAGGAGTTGAATCCAAGGCCTTGTGAATACCAAGCATCTACTCAACCGCTGCACTTATACGCCCTCCCACCCAGTAAAAAAGAACATTTTTTTTAAAAATTTATTTTTCGAGACAGGGTTTTTCTGTGTAACAGCACTAACTGTCTTGGAACTAACTCTTGTAGACCAGGCTGGCCTCAAACTTACTGAGATCCACCTGCCTCTGCATCCCAAGAGCTGGGATTAAAAGCATGTGTCACCACCGCCCGGTCAGTAAAAGATTCTAAACCCATCTATTATACCCTAAGGTTCATGGGCACATACATTGGCCTATCTAGCACCCACAATAATACTTTTACTATTCTACAAATGGGTAAATTAGAGACTGGGGAGCTGACCTGCTCAGTGACATCGCTCGAAGGTGGCCTTCAGAATCCCAAACTGCTCGCTTCTCTGAACACTGTGTTCTTTCTGCTATATCGGTCCAGGTGGTGGAGAAATTCACACTCTAAAGGGGGGGGGATCAATATCCTGCAAAATGAATGAGTCAGAGCTGCTCCTAGGATCAAAGCAGTCCTCAGGAAAGAGAGGGCGCCTGAGCTGTACCTTCACCTTCATTTCCTTATTCTCCGCAGGCAATGTGGATCCAGGGAGGAATCAGACAAGGTCCTCTGGGTGAGGAATTCATGTGCGCATGTTTGTTCAGAGAGGCAAAGTGGCAGTTTGTGTGTGGTAAATGCCTGTTAAAAGACAAAGTGGAGGTTGGTGTAGTGGCACACACTTGTAATCCCAGCACTGGGGTGGGGAGCTGAGGCAGACTGAGCTACATGGTGAATACCAGGCGCGCCGTGTCTCAGCCGCCCTCACCCCCACAAAACAAAGACAACACAATAGAATCAACTGGACGGTGGTCGAGGCAAGGTCCCTAATTCGGAGTCCCAGAGAGGTGAGCGAAGTCTTTCTGAAGAAAGGACTCCTGCCACAGCAGAAATATGATGGCTAAGCAAGCTTTAGTCACCTGCAGTAAAAGTCTTTCTAGGCAGAGCGTAAGCAACCCACCCGCGGAGGTGAGACAGCCTCCTGAGTGGCTGGCACACGTCGTGGCTAAGCTTACTAGTACTAGAAGCTAAAAGGGGCGTGGATTTGTGGGTCTGAGTTGATCGATGAAGAGCTGCTCGATGGATCTCCGGTCTCCGTGCTCTCACGGTGGCGGCTCCCTTCTCAACCATAACGCACGGCCTTTTGGTAAGTGGATGCGAACACTCGGGCAAAACAGACCATCCATCCCTGACTCCTTGGTGCCAAGCTGGTCCCCCGCCCTCCGCGGGAGGCCCTGTTACCATGGCAACTAGGTTAGGGCGGAAGTGGTTTTAGAAGATTGACTCTCACTAATCAGGTGACTCTCCAGACTTCAGCACGTGACACCGGAGCCCAGGCGCGCGCTCTACCTAATCGAGCCGCCGTCCCTCTTTCAGCGACAACTGACAGCGCTGTAGAGCAATGGCCTAGGAGGCTCTCTTAGGAGACCCCACCTCTCCATAGGGAAAGGACCAATTAGGCAGAGGCAAAGAGAAGGACCGCCCCAGGTTTTGCCCGGGTTTGACAGACGCAATTGAGGCCATCACAGAGTCCCTCCGCCCCTAGCCATCGAGCCCGCGACGGATGGACTCGTTGTCCAATAGCACGTCCCTTGGCCGCCGCCGGGTCCCGCCCTCTCAGGGACGGAACCAATGAGCACGCCAGCTCCTGGCCGGGTAGAGGGGTTGCACTGCGGTAATATGGCTCTTCCTTAGCCAGCGGCGGTGTCTAGTCCGGGCGCCGAGCTGCCGGGGCTCTCGGGTGGTTCGTTTCTAAGCTGCAGGGGCTCGGCGGATAGCGGCTCCGGAGGCTGCGGCGGATGCGGGAGGACTGCCCGCCTGGCCGCCTGGCGGCCCCGGGGTCCAGATGAGCTCCAGTGCTTCGCTCGGGGGCCCGGTGCCCCTGCCACCCCCGGGCCCGTCCGCCGCGCTGCCGCCCGGTGCCCCCGCGCGGGCCCTGCATGTGGAGCTGCCGTCCCAGCAGGTGAGGCGGCCGCGAGCCGGGGGGCGGAGATGGCCGGGAGAGGAGGTCGGCTGGGCTCGCGGGACTGAGGAGAGCTGTCAGGAGGAGGACCCCGCGTCCTGGGTTGGGGGAGCCGGGCGTTCCCGCGCTCAGACCTCTGCATCCCTCTGATAGGCGCCGGGGAGCCCTGCGCCCTGCCGGCCGACGCCGCGCTTTTCCTTTCGCTCCAGCGCCCAGGAGTCGGTTTTCTTGCACTTATTCTTAGCGTTATGGGGTGCTTCTTTCTGCTCCTCCTGAGGAAGGTATTTGGGACGTCGGGGTTTCTCTCCCAAGTCTCATATCCTCATGGCACACTTCACTCCCTCGGGTGAACGCCTGGACGGAGGATCTGAAGTATGTTTTCATATCTTGGATCTTAGGTTGCAGGGGTGTAAGGAGGACGAGAGAACACTGACTTTGGGGATCTGACAAAATTCTTGATGACACCCGCCTGTCTATAGAGTGTGTCTTCTACTGCCCTCCCTTCATGGGTGAGACTCTGCAGGGACCTTTGCACTGAAGAGGACCGGGAGAAACTGTCAGTCACGGAGAGGTTACCGTGCTCCTAGGTCTGTGCAAAGTGCTCATTGAATCCTCACAACTCCGTGAGACAGCTGTTTTTATCATCCCGATTTTTCAGTTCTAGAAACAGGCTTGTCCACTGCCTTCCTGTTACTGGTGGGGCTGGGTTTCCTCAGACAGGGTCTGACTGCAGCCCTTGCACCGGGCATAGTTTGCTTGAGGCTTGAGCAGCGACTCCACCACCGTCCACAGGACAGAGCAAGCTTCCTTAGCCCCTTCCTGTAACTTTCCATCCTTGCCCGAGACAGGAAGGAGCTACACTAGAGCGCGGAGGCTAGAGAGGGCCAGGCATGAAGTGGATCGGAACGTAAAGGAAGGGAAAGGTTGCACACCCCGCTACCCGGTGCCCTGCCAGTAGGGAAACATCATTAATTGCTGGAAGCGAGGCTCTGTGGTGGGAGAGGGCTTAAAAGATCAGAAGGCATGTGCCCTGGTTTTGTGGTGCAGTTGGGCAGGGACTTTGTGGAGAGTATTAAGAGTTGGAAGGTGGTTTGGATTACATTTTGAGAGTGTGGCTGAAGAGAGTTGTATGTGGATTGGGCATCCAAGTGTGAATTTTTCTATGTGTGGGAGGTGGATTTCGAGGGGGTGCTGGGAGTTCGGGATCTAGATGGGCTTAGTCTAGGGGAACTATGAGAACGTGTGGGGTTGGAGAAGAGAAATCATCATTTACTACACAAAGCCTGCTCTGTGAATAACAGTTCACAGTTTAACACCAGCGGGAATAATCCAAGCAAACTGTCCATGGACTCAATTCATGTATTTGTCGGGTTTCTGGGTTGCTGCTAGTGGCCGGCCTAAGTTTGCAGCTGGATGTGGCATGAGCTTGGCAAGCTCTTTACGGCTTCCTGGGAGTGTCATCCTAACTGTTAGGCAACGTATATAACAAAAACACATTCCTTCTGTGGTTGATATTAATTTAGCTTTCTAGATCAAAATTATTCATGTTTTGGAAAACTTTTTTTTTTTTGGAGACAGGGTTTCTCTGTAGCTTTGGAGACTGTCCTGGAACTAGCTCTTGTAGACCAGACTGGCCTCGAACTCTGCCTGCCTCTGCCTTTCTAGTGCTGGGATTAATGGCGTGCGCCATCACTGCCTGGCTGAAATAAATATTTTTTAACATAAGCATTTTGTTGATTAATATATTAATTTACTATATAACACAAGTTCCAATAGGGTTGACATTATCTGCTTTTAGAAGAGATTTGAGTTTGCCTAGAAGAGCCCACAGAATTATGTATAAGACATATATAGTTTACCTTTTCTTATTTTAATTTAAAAATTTTTAGCAGGGCCGGACGGTGGTGGCACACGCCTTTAATCCCAGCATTTGGGAGGCAGAGGCAGGCGGATCTCTGTGAGTTCGAGACCAGCCTGGTCTACCAGAGCTAGTTCCAGGACAGGCTCCAAAACCACAGAGACCTTTTGGCAGAGACCTTTAATTTAATGTGTCCTTAATATTAAGCTTAACTGAGAGAATTTCTTTCCTCCTCCAAAGCGCCCCAGCCACATTCTCAGATACTTGGAATGCAGACGTTTTTAGAGGCTTTTAGTGATTACCCTTTTGGAGGTCACATGTTCCTTTAAGAATTTATAAAAAGGCTGGAGAGAAGGCTCAGTAGCTAAGAGCACTGGCTGCTCTTCCAAAGGATCTGGGTTCAATTCCGCATGCCAGCTTATTGTCTGTAACCCCAGTTCCAGGGGCTTGATACCCTCATACAGACATACATGCAGGCAAAACACCAATCCACATAAAATAAAAATTAAAAATAAACAGAGATGGCTCAGCAGTTAACACTGACTGCTCTTCCAGAGGACCAGGTTTAATTCCCAGCATCCACGTGGTGGCTCACACCTGTCTGAACTACAGTTCCCTTACACAGGGATACACATAGGCAAAACACCAATGCACATATAAATAAAAACAATTAATTAAAAAATAAAGAATATAAAACATTAAAAAAAGAAATTCATAAAAGATACATACTCTTAGAAAATGTACTTATAAATACACGTGAACACCTAATCTCGCACGAGGCTTTGGTTTTTTTGTTTAAATGGAAAATTTAAGATTGACTGTTCCTAACTTGGCTTACACCTTTTTATTTAAAAATATTACAGAATGTAGCTATTAGACTTTTTTCTTGCATGGTCTTCCATATAATGTGTTTCACCCATATTTTTCATCTGTCTATATACGTGTGTTTGTGTGCATATTGGCGCACAAGTGTGTGGAGGCCAGTGGACCACTCCTGTGTCATCCCCGGGACACTGCCCCTTCCTTTGAGACAGGGTCTTAGTTTACGTTCTGCAGAACCCTTGCCTGAGGTTCCTGAGTGCTAGGATTGCAGGTGTGTGATATCACCCACCCCTCACTGTTGTAGGGTTTTGGGACTCTTTCTAGAAATTCTCTATTCCACTGCACCGCGTGGCCGTGCAGAAGGATCTCGGAGTACACGTGATGTCTGTAGGATGAAGTTAGCTCAGTGAAAACACAGGATTGGTAGTGTGTTTGTTTGCTTATGTTTGACTTGCCTGGTGCTCACTACTTAGATCAGGCTGAGCTCAGACTCACAGAGATTAATTTGCTGTTACTGATAAGATTAAAGGCATAAGCTACCACTCCGGGCGCTCGCTCGCTCTCTCTCTCTCTCTCTCTCTCTCTCTCTCTCTCTCTCTCTCTCTCTCTCTCTCTCTCTCTGTATTTAAACCCATAGGAGTCTTTCTATTTACACTCATACCATTGTATTAGAGCCAGTTTCTCTTTATTTTTTGCTAACTCTGGATATTTCTAACCCGAGTTTATTGATTGAAACCATATATGTGTGGTCACATGTGCATACACATATATGTACACAGTACATATACATATGTATGTATTTGGTATTTAAATGTACGTTTCTTTAGCTGTTGGTTTTCCTTTATTGCATATTAGACAGTATGCTAAGCACATGCTCTCAGTTTTCCTGCCCAGCTTTGTGAGTTTTAATATATTTACATATTTTGCTACTTGAATTTCCTCTGTGAAGCTCATGTTCATGTCCTTAACATTCATTTTTCTAATTGTTTTTGGTTTTTCAAGACAGGGATTCTTTGAGTAGTAGTCCTGGCTGTCCTGGAACTCATTCTGTAGACCAGGCTGGCCTCGAACTCACAGAGATCCGCCTGCCTCTGCCTCCTGAGTGCTGGGGTTAAAGGCGTGTGCCACTACCACCTGGCCACTTTTCTAATTGTTTTGCTTATGGTTTTTATTGTCTTGAAGATTCCTTTTTACTTTCCTTTCTTTGTTTTGGTTTTTGAGAGAAGTGAGTTAGAGCTATTAGCCTTTATTATTATTATTATTATTATTATTAATTTTATCTTTGTGTTTCTGCTTCTGCATTAGTTAGGAAGCATGGAACTGGGGGTCAGAGGACAGCCTCCGATGTCAGTTTCCACCTTGTTTTAGAAGGAGAACCTTGTTTTTCTGTGGCCTACAGAAGGCTAGATGCCTGCATTTTGTAGGAGTATCTGGATTACACAGTAAGCAAGTCTTGCTTTGTGTTGGTCCTGGAGATTTGTACTCAAGCTCTCTCACTCCTAGGGCAATGCTTGCCTACTTGTACCATCGTCGTCATCGAAGTCCCTGAACTGAAGCCAGGACCTCACACACGCTGGGCCACTCCTGTCGTCTGTCACCGAATTATAGCCTCAACTCTTTCTCTACTTTTTTTTTGAAACAGGGTCTTACTGTATAGTTCTGGTTGGCCTGGAACTCACAGACCTACCTGCTTCTGTTTCCCCAGGGTGCAGGATTAAAGGCGTGCACCACGCGCCCAGCTCTTTTCTCTGTTTTTTGTTTGTTTGTTTGTTTTTGAGACAAGGTCTCATTAAACAGCCCAAGCTTGCCTTGAACTTCCCCTGTAGTATTTTGCTTGAATGTCTGTGCTTCCCAGGTGTGTCTGGTTCTTGCAGAGCACCCTGAAAAGGGAGTTGTAGGTGGTTGTGAGCTGCCACGTGGGTGCTAGGAATTTGAACCTGGGTCTTCTGCAGGAACAGTCAATGCTCTTAACCTCCGAGCCATCCGTCCAGCCCTCCGTTTTAATAGTGAGGAATCAGCACCATTAAGAACATGCTCCGTGTGGTACAGCTGTCACTTCTTGGAACTTTTTCATCCTCCCAGGCACAGCCTGCACACCCAGGACACAGCTAGCTCTCCGTTTTCCTCCACACTCGCCCTTTTGTGGCAAAGCTCTCTTCTACTTTCTATGAATTTGACCATCTGGGTTCTGTGGGTACATGAATTCTCCGTGTTTGTGCTTTTGTCTCTGCCTGCTTTCCCTCAGCGTAATGTTTCCAGGGTTCCTTCTTCATGGTGGCCTGTGTAAGACTGGCCCCTCCTGCAAGCCTCACCCATCCTG